GGACCTTGGAATTCTCCAGGCCAGAATGCTGGAATAGCCTTTCCCTATCTTCCCAACCCAGGGATCAAACCCAGGTCTCCCGAATTGCAAGTGGATTCTTTACCAGCTGAGACACAAGGGAACCCCAAGAATACTGGAGTGGGTAGCTATCCCTTCTCCAGAGAATCTTCCCAACCAAGGAATCAAACTGGGGTCTCCTGCACTGCAGGCAGATTCTTTACCAACTGAGCTATGAGGGAAGCAAAAGAATCTCAAAATTCTAACCCCTCAGATTTTATGAAAGTGAAAGTGTTAGTCACTCAGTCACATCCGACTGTTTTAGGGACCTGAGTCACTTCTTAATTTCAAATAATTAACATTGAATGATTCCACTTATAACACTCCAAAATAATTTTGCATAGTTCTTTTCTGTCACATTTCTGTTTTCCCTTTTCTGACTTTTTATCACCATGGCTGGGTAGAAATCCAAGGGTAGTTAAGTAGAACTAAAGTTCTACTTGAGTCCAAATTCAACTGAAACCCCATGAATAAGATTCTTTGGCTCCAAGCACCTGTCTGAGTTCTAGCCTGTATGTTTTAGATTTCCAAGAGAATTAGGTCACATAGAAAACCAAGAAGTAAATACCATGAATCTGGGACATATGCCTCACATTATACCTGCCATTTAAACATGGGTTAGCTATTTTTTTAAAAAATTTCAGATAAAAAATGTATTTATTCTAAAAGTGTTTAACCACTATTTTTAGCACTTATTGTTACTAAGCTCTGTGTGAAGAGCCTAAAAGAGAGGAGATTGTTCTGATAAAGGGACTACATATCTTCAGAGTCTTAATTCAGCTTATAAGCAGAAGAAAACACACTTTCTTCCAGACTGACAGACATTGTCTGATCAGATTTCTAAAATGGGGCTTCTCCTGCTATATTTCATAGAGGTGTATTGATAACAATGCAATCTGAACTTTGCTGATAGTTGCTGCAGGAAATGTTGAGGTTGAATAATATTTTCAATTTCAGGTCCAATTTTCAAATCCAGTAGCTGTTGTTCTTAAAGTAAACCAAAATGGAAAATTTCTTGAAGACAGGTTACTTTAGATGATGTAATAACCAGATTGCCAACTGATTACATTTTAAGGATGTTATTCTTTTTATGTGACAAGATTGCTCACATCTCCTTAGCAATTCAGCCTTCTTCATCCTCACTCATCCTTGACATCAGGCCTCTGGGGAAGGACATTATAAGACATTTCTGTGATATGAACTCAAGTCAAAGAAAGTAAATCAGTGTCAACTCACCATGGCCTAATGCTTTGGAAAAACCCAGTGATATCTCTCTTAACCACTTTTCTATGGAGTCTGGATCTAATGTTTCTTTCAATCAGATTTCTTTTGTACCTTTATCTTTTCATGTTTAAATTGATTTTGCATGTTGAATTTCCTTTAAGTAACAGATTGCTCTTAGAACCATCGATACCCAAAATGGCCAATTCCTTGTGCTGATCATACAGTTTCAAGTGATTTTTTCTGTTATTTTCTGATGTTATTTTCACTTAGTGAGATCCTAGATTTCTTGGGATGTTCTATAGCCTGGGTCTCTGTGGTACTGCCTTCTACCATGTTTATGCATATGTGTCCATAGGTTTTTATGATGTTTATGCCTGAGCAACATGTTTTAGGTACCCTGTTAAAAGAGTATGCCTATGCTAGGCATGGGTTGTATTTCAATTGTACTCTGTCCTAGAAAGTATGATGAAGTTTGCAATATTTCTGTTACCACAATCACCTATCTTTTGAGGTTTTCTTCATGTTAAAATGGAAGAAGTTTCTCTGTTACTTTCAATAGAAATCCCTATATTTGTGCTCTGGAAACCAGTCTGTTCACCTTATCATGAATTTCATCTTTTTTAGATATTCCTCTCCTTACAAATTGGCATTCTCTTCAGCAAAGACAGTACTTAATATTTCTTGTATCAGAAAAAAATAATTTGTTGAACCCTCTTCTCTGATGACATAAGACACCAGTTTTTATTATCTTCATTTTAGGTAATGCTATCCAAGAGACTGTCACGACTCATGAGCTTCATGTATTTACATTCAATAGTTTTGAATCCACTGCAGTAAAACTTCCATCCTTTTGTATTTTATTGAAATTACTCTTTTCAAGTTAACCAGTGATGTCCATCCTGCCAAATCCAGTTCAGCCTTTGCATTTCTATTCAGCTTCTTAATAGAAGTGAACAGCTCATCTGTCCACTTAGAGCCCTCCTTTCCCGACTTCTGTGCATCTTTACTCTCCCAGTTTTCCTTCTCCCCAGGGCTGTTCTCCGTCCTCTGATACCTTCTATTCAAAGGCTGGACTCCTTTAGACTTAAAAGCCTGGGAACTTTACTGCTCAGTCTTTCACTTCCTATTTTCCTAACAATTCTCTCCCAGATGAGATTGTTCCCATCACCTTACATTTAGACGGATTTAACTCAAGTTTATATTTCCTGTTTATTCAAAAAGCATATTTGAACTCTACAATCGTTTCTAATTGTCTAGTTTTTATTCCACATTTTTTTTTTTTTTTGCATCTCAGACATAACATGTCAAAATCATTGATTTCTCCCACTCTTTTTTCCCAAAGGGATTTTTTTCCCCTAACTCTTCATCTGTCAGGAAGCATGTAACAGGAGGCTTCCCATGTGCTGTTTTGGATCTGTCAGGAACCCTCAGGCCCTTATTAATTCCTGAATATTCAGGAATTAAGAGGAGAGGCATGCCTTTCCCAGAGCTGAGGAATCCAGGCGTTTCTCATGGTACCCTCTTCCTTTTTATGAGCCATATGGTAAAAGGCGATTGTCTGCCACTCTCTCTCTTTGATAGGGATCATCTTATGTTTTGTAAGTCTGGAATTTTAATCTTCATCTTTGCTGAGAGTAACTACAGTATATATGCCCACACCATGTTGATTAAAACACCTTTGCTCCATCAGAGCTTGGGTCCCCGTGTCTTTCTTTCTATTCTTTCTTTATTTCCTTCTCTCTCTCTCTTTCAGGCTAATTCCTTGGAGCGTGGAGGCCCGCTGAGCTCACTTTCTTGCCCAGGCTTCTAAGGCCCTCTCGAGAAGGCGCGCTGTGCCTTCACCCACTCGAGAGGTTGCCTGGTGCCTTCGTGCACCAGCGTGAGCCCTGAGAGCAGGACTCTGTTGGCTTTCCGCATAAACCAGGGATATCAGCCTCTTTCTCTGTCTTACTCTGCGGACCACCAGGTTCCGGTCCATTAAAGGACCAACATTTATCCAGCGCCATGAATGGGCTTATCAGTTACGTGCTGGGTCAAATACAAAGAAACAACAGAAAGATTGAGTCATTTGTAATTTCTTCTTTATACTGATACCACTCCAACAGAAAGCTTTATAGTTTGTAGCCAGCTTATAACACTATTTCATGTATTGTTCCATTTCCTTCTATTTTTTCACACTTGTCCATGATGACATCATTTCTTTTCTGAATTTTGTTAAAATGTTCTACAGTCTGATTCAAAGTAACCACTATAATTTTTCCAGAATCTAAATAAATCTATTTCCTTTGTTTAGAATGTTTTCCCATTTCTTTCATTTAAAAAAAAAAATAAAGAAAAATTAAAGACACCGTTTATCATGTGCTACAGGGCTTGCTTGTCCTATGCCCTAGCCATCCACTTCATTCATTCTGCCAGTTACATTAAAACATCTGTTTGTTTTTCAACCAATGAAGCTTTTTCTTGCATTTCGATCTTTGACTTTAGTCTATTAAATCCAAGTATTTTTCCCCTTGTACTTTTCACATAGTAGTTCATCTCTTTTCTCTTCAGGTGTTGATGAAATGTCACTTAAGCTAACATGGATGAGAGGGAAGATGTATTAGAGGTTTAAGGAGAAAAGAAAACATTCTCTCCTTGAATCTATTTAGGAATAGTTTGGAACATTTTGAGAACATATGATGATTGTTGACTATATTTTATTTTCATATTTATGTTAATTAAATATTGCTGAATAATGTAAAACCCCCAAACTCAAGGCTATAGAGAAACGTCATGTATAACCACATTGTATGTGTCTGTGAGTTAACTTGAGGATCGGCTGAACTTGGCTGGCTTCTGTTTGCCAACTGTGCTACCTCCAGGACAATCAATCCTGCATCTGCTCATTTATTAGGTAGCTCTGCTCTAGGAGGAAACCTGACAACTGTCCCCGTGGGGCTCATCTTTCTTCTGGGGACCGGTAAACTAGTCCTGGCATGCTCTTCTTCTGGCAGTGGCAGAGCATAAGAGGAAACGTAGACCCAGATGTGGAACCGGACACCATCACTTTGAACTCATTCTATTGCCTGAGTTAGCTGGAGGCCAAACCTAATGGAAGAGAACCCTGCAAAATTACATGAACTAGTGAGGGAAGATTTGTGGCTGATAATGCAACCTACTTCCTGTTTATTTATTTTATCATTATTTAAACAAGGTGCTCTGTGATGCGGACATGATGGTTATTAATGAAAATGTTTTGGTTTTCATTTTGTATATATCTTCAAACCTCAGCTATGATGAAATTCTAAGATAAATTAATCCCTGACATCTGTTATCCTAAAAAAAAAAAATGTACATACAGCAATTAGAAGTTCATTTTTTTCCCAATGTACTATGAACTTTATAGAGACAGTGATTTTTTTTTTAATCTTTCCCTTATTAATTACTGTGGTTTTGCCATCTACTACCTCCTATTCTACTCATGGAGTTTAAAGTTTTGTTTTTTAAATTTTTGAATTAATAATTGAATTAAATATTAATTAAGGACTGACAGGAAAATAATTAACATCAGTCCATGCAAATATAAAATGGATGGGCAAAATGAAGGGCCAAATACAGAAAGTAAAAATGCACATTTCAATATTTGAGTATAATAGATTTAATACCTCCCTTGGTTCAGTTTTCTTTATTATAGCACCAGGTTAAAGAAGATGTATCCTTTTTTTTTTTTTTCCCTTTAGATACTTCATTGACTACAATCCTGAAGATGATAGATTTTTTAACATTGATGCCAACACTGGAACCATTAAGACTACCAAGGTTCTTGATAGAGAAGAAACTCCATGGTATAACATCACAGTTGCTGCTTCAGAAAATGGTAAACTTCTTTATTTTATGTACTATAGGGAAGATGTCACTTAAACATGAAGACTTAGGCTGAGATTTTCTCCAGATCAGGGCTTTCATGATTTTTATTTTTTTATGCACCTAGCAGAGTGCACAGAATGTTTTAGACACAATTACTCATTGTCAGATGTGATTAGTAAATCTTATATCTTTTCCTTTACTGTAATCTCTGCATAATGGTAGAAAATTGATATCACAGAGTACTTAGTCTGCATCACTCAGTCAAAATATCTAATTCTCTTCTTAATTGTCAGACTTGCTTTGTCATGTGTTTATGCCTTACTTAAGTAGAAGAATGCTTCATATACAGTGAAGCAGTTAGGAAAAGAAAGAGAAGAAAAGAAAATTTAACATTTTACTTGAATGATTTTATTAATACAACACCTTTCTTCAGGCTTCAATTGACTCTTAGAGATTTTACAGTGAAAGAATAACTCTTGGTATTTCAACAGACAGGTCTAAGTCATTTTAAACAAATGTACACCACCATACAACTGAGGGAGGCCATTGTTCGATCCTCATCCAGAACATTGCATTGTGCTAAATAACCACATTATAAAAAAAGTAAAGATATCAACAATTATCTCAAAGTTCAAAAAGATGTGTATAAATGTTTTCAAATGAAATTGGAATAAAGCTCTAGGAAAATGGATCTGTTGTCAAGAAAATGAAGTATGTATTTACATGTTGAGAAAGAATCCAAAGGTACAGACTGCCCCAAGTTTACTCTGATACATGAAAAATGAAAGTGAAAGCATTAGTTGATCCATCATGTCTGACTTTTTGTGACCCCATGGACTATAGCCCCCCAGACTCCTCAGTCCAAGGAATTTTCCAAGTAAGAATACTGAAGTGGGATGTCGTTCCCTTCTCCAGGGGATCTTCCTGACTCAGGGAATGAAACTGCATCTCCTGAATTGTAGAGAGTCTCCTGCATTTCAGGCAGATTCTTTATGATCTGAGTCACCAGGGAAGCCCAGTATTGTATATATCATGTGTGTGTGTGTGTGCACTCAGTCATGTCTGACTCTTTGAGACCCCATGAACTTGAGCTTGCCAGGTTCCTCTCCATGGGATTTCCCAGGCAAGAATACTGGACTGGGTTGTCATTTCCTTCTCTGGGGATCTTCCCGACACATGAATCAAACCTGCATCTGTTGCATATCCTGCATTTGCAGGTGGTTTCTTTACCACTAGTGACACCTGAGAAGCCCAACTTACAACGCCTTTTAAAATATTTCAATATATTCATAAAAGAACTATAAAGATTAAAATGTAGGAATACTTCATATTGGAAAATAGTATCCAGTTCAGTTCAGTTGCTCAGTGTGTCCGACTCTTTGCGACCCCATGGACCACAGCAAGGCAGGCCTTCCTGTCCATCACCATTTTCTGAATGTTGAGCTTTAAGCCAACTTTTTCACTCTCCTCTTTCACTTTCATCAAGAGGCTCTTTAGTTTTTCTTTGCTTTCTGCCATAAGGGTGGTGTCATCTGTATATCTGAGGTTATTCATATTTCTCCCAATAATCTGGATTCCAGCTTTTGCTTCCTCCAGCCCAGCATTTCTCATGATGTACTCTGTATATAAGTTAAATAAGCATGGTGACAATATACAGCCTTGACTTAATCCTTATCCTCTTTGGAACCAGTCTGTTGTTCCATGTCCAGTTCTAACTATTGCTTCCTGACCTGCATACAGATTTCTCAAGAGGGTCAGGTGGTCCGGTATTCCCATCTCTTTCATAATTCCCAGGGTTTATTGTGATCTGCATGGTCAAAGGCTTTGGTATAGTCAATAAGGCAGAAGTATATGTTTTTCTGGAACTCTCTTATATAAAATGAAATTACACTCTCTCTTTCTTATGCCCTCAGAAGATACAAGAAATTTAAAAAAAAACATTCAAGCTTCATTTAGAAATACTTTACATACCCTATGATTTACCTTTGTATAGTGTATAGACTAATGACTGTTAGTACATTCAGTTATCCATCAACTGTCACAATGGATTTTAGAATACATTGAATACTTCAGAAAGAAATCCTGTGTCCTTATTCATCACTCTCTAATCCCTCTTGCCCACACCTCAATCCAAGGAGCCACTCCTCTAGTGTCTGTTTTTATAGATGTCTTAGTCTGTTTAGGCTGCTATAACAGTGTATCATAAACCTAGTGCTTTAAAAAGCAAACACTTATTTCTCACAGTTCTGGAGGCTGGAAGTCCAAGATCAAGGGACCAACTGATTTGGTGTCTGGTGAGAATACACTTTCTGGTTCATAGATGGCTGTCTTCTAGTGGTGTTCTCACATGGTGCAAGAGCAAGGGATCTCTATGGGATCTCTTTTTTAAGAGATATAATCTCCCTTGTGAGTGTTTCACTCTGAATTTGGGGGAGAAAAATACATTCAGTCTACAGCAATAATTTTTCCTTAATTGACCTCTCATATAAAACAATCACATGACATCTAGTCCTTTGTGACTGGCTTACTTCACGTAGTGTGTTATTTTCAAAGTTCATTTACATTGTAGCATGGATCAGTGTTTCATTCTTCCTTACTGCTAAAATCTTTCCATTGTTTGAATATACTGTATTTTATGTACCCATTCACCACTTGATAGACGTTTGTGTTGTTTCCACTTTTTGCCTAATTTGAAGACTGTTATCATAAGCATTGATATGGATGCTTTTGTGTGAGTGACTTTTCATTTCTCTTGGGTATATACCTAGGAGTGGGATTGCAGAATCATATAAAACTATGTTTAAATCTTGGATGAATTGCCATCCTGTTTTCCAAAGTGACCACATTTTACATTCACAGCAGCACTGTATGCGTGTCCTCATTATTCTATATTGTTACCAATATTTACTATTCCATACTTTTTTGATCATGATCATTCTATTAGGTGTGAGGTGATAGCTCATTGTGGTTTATGCACTTTTATAATGTCTTGTGTCACAAAACAATAAAGCTGCTCCAGTCTTTTCTATTCTACCTGAGTTTTTCTTGTGTTGCATCTGAAAAATCAACTCAAATAGTTTCCATTTAGATCGTTTTTTCAATGTAATATTTCTCTTTGAAAATAAGGATTCACTAATTACTTTTAAATGAGTATTATAAATAATACATGAGTGGATTCATTTGTTATAATTCTGGTTAATTTTCATTTTCAAAATGGCCAGAATAGTTCTAGAATTGCATGTGCTTACTTACCAAGAACAATAAAATAACTGCCACATGATAAAGCCTCATTTAAAATTAGTTTTAAAATAAAGGAATGCATGGGTTGATAAATTGAAGTAGATGCTATGGAGACATTGAAAAGTTTCCAAAAATATTGTATAGTTATTCTTGCAATCAAGCTCCATGTATAGAAGATGGAAGGGGAGACTCCCTGGAGAGAATACTTGCTTGTCAGAAATAATAAGGACTTATTTTAAAATAACATCAAATTCAACTCCAGAGGTATTTTCATCAGAAACTTTACTTTAGTTCAGCTAAATCTCATCTCAACCTAAATAATATTTGCATCAAGACAAAGCTACTTTGTAAATATACATGAGTTCAAATGTATCATGAAAATTATATTATTTGCAATCATTACCAAAGGAAACCAAAGGAAATGTTAATTTTTACTAAAGTAACATCTTAGGTATGTACTTACTTTCCCCCGCCTTTTTGTTCACTAATTGCTAGTGTTTCATATGGGAAATGAGTTAATACACATCTACTAAGTAAAACAGTACAGTAAATCGTAATATCCTGAATTTTATAGATGGTAATAAAGAAGCCTTAGAGACATCTCAATGAGCATTACTAAAATATAATTTAATCCTAATCATAAACAGGTATGTAGAAAGAATGAGCCCTAGTTAAGATTTTATAGCCATACTGGGAGACTGTGTTTAGAAAAGTGCACATTCACTTACTGATGGCTTGGCCTAAGTGCATATTAAATAGAGCTGGGAGCTCTTCCACAAATGATTGTTTGTAAGCATTAACAGAAGCTATGTCATAAAAGTATTTTCTGGTATACTTCATTCTGGATACTTTTTCAACAGGATTTTTTAAAAGGCTATACCTTTTTTTAGTGCATTTTAGGTTTATCAAAATTCAGAGAAATGGACAATGATTTCCTTTGTATCTTCTGCACCTACAGATGCTTAGCTTCCTCCACTATCAATATCCTCCACCAGAGTGATACATTTGTTACAACAGATGAGCCTGCATTGATGCATCATAATCAACCAATGTCTATAGTTTGTTGTAGGGTTAGCTCTTATTATTCTATGGTTTTGGACAAATGCATAATGCATATACCCACTGATGTAATATCATATAGAGTATTTTGACTGCACTAAAATGTTCTGTGCTCCATCTGTTCATCTCTCCCCATCTCTACCCCTGGTAACCACCTATCTTTTTATGACTCCATAGTTTTGCCTTTTCCAGAACATCATATAGTTGGAATCATACGGTATGTGGACTTTTAGGTTGGCTTCTTTCACTTAGTAATATAGATTGAAGTTTGTTCAAATTTTCCATGTCTATTCCTGTCTTGATAGCACATTTCTTTTTACACTCAATAATATGAAATTGTCAGCCTGCACCAGTTTGTTTATTCATTCATCTACTGAAAAACATCTTGGTTGTCTCCAAAATTTGGCAATGATGAAATAATGCTGCTATAAATATACGGGTGTAGGTTTTTGGGTGGACAGATGTTTTCAACTCCTTTGGGTAAATACCAAACTTTGCAATCCCTGGATCATATGGTAAGAGTATGTTTAATTTTGTAAGAAATTGATAGTGTCTTATGAAGTGCCTATGCCATTTTGAATACCCACCAGATATGAATGATTGTTCCACATCCTAACTAGCATTTGGTGTTGTCATTATTCCCTGGATTTGCACCACTCCAATAGATACATAGTGGCATATTGTTTTAACTTGCATTTTTTCTGATGATAT